TTTTCTAGAAAATTTACTATGATCCAATACTAACTTTTATTAATAATAAATATCAAAATAGCTTTCTTTAAATTAAATTACTCTTACTAATTGACTAAATCTTCAATTATAATACACAACTCTTACAATTCTTCTTCTTGCCTTCATAGATAATATAGTATGATATTGCAAAAATTCAACAGACCTCTAAAATCTTTTAAATAATATCTTAAAATTTTATCAACTAAATAATATCTAAGTCAATCCAACAAAATCAGATCTATTATATATAAAACCAAAAAAAACCAAACTAAATCTAACACCTTAAATCCTTTTTAATAATCAACAAATTCATTTTTATAAATATGATAAAATTATTAGATATCTTAGCATATACTATAATAGACATAAATCAACAAAACTAACTCTTGAACTAATTACAAACAAAATCTAATAGTTTTGTAAACTAATTAATTTAAAAAACTTCTGTTTAAACAAATTGCTTCACTTTTCAACTCTATTTTAGTAGCATCATTTGAATATCTACTTCAAATTATCTTTCTCACAAAACAAATCTCTAACAAACTTTCATCAACAATAACAAACATATTAAACAACTACTAAATCTCTTACTAAACACAAATAATAATATTCTAACAAAGCTACAACTACTTAATTCACTTATATTAGAAAAACTTTTTTTTAACACAAATAGTAGCAACTTAGAATATCTTCTCAACTCCAACTCTCTACTTAAAAAAATATCTATTATTCATATAAATAAGTGGCTCTCTCAAATATAGTACCTCCAACTTACAAAGGATATACTCTCAATATACAAAAAAATACTCAAAACTTCATATTAATTACTTAACTTCAATTAATATTCAACAACAATATAAATATTAATAATCTTAATCTTAACTTTACTAATATATCTATTAACTACAACAACTTAAATCTTATATATAACTTCTTATCTCAATCTTTTAAAATATCAACAATTCTTAGTTTCAAAATAACAAATTACTTTTTCTAGAACAACTTCTTACTGCAAACAATTCAAATTTCCTTCTCTGAAATAATATCTATTTTCATTTTTAAAAATATCTAAAGGATGAATATCTAAATAGTATAAAGATATCTCTAATATCCTTATAAACTAATACTAATTTTAAATACACTTGACCTAATTACTATTTCTACTACTTTTTTTAAACTAATTTAGTCTATTTATTTTACAAACCAAATATACTCTATTGGAAAAGTTATAACACATCATACTAATTAAATAATTTTTCAAAAATATAATACTATTTCACAAACAAATAGAACTACTATAATCTTACCTTTATAAACTTTTATAAATATTGCTCTAAACCTTATCTTAAATATTAAATACAAAAGCTATAAAGAGAAAACTAACTTTAAACTCTCAATAGATAAGTTCAAAATCAAAGATTTAATTCTTATCTTTAATGAATTACATATATAATACTAATTCTCACTTCCTCCTACTATACAAATCTCAAATACAGAAATATTACTTATTAAAAATACTATTAACTTACTCTCTTACTAAGAACAACTCACAATACTTTACTAACCTACCTCTAAATAACTTATACTTTTATACTAATACTTCTATATATTATTCACAAACACCTTCTATTAAAGCAGATATTAGTTAAGTTCTCTCTAACAATAAGCATATAAGATTTAATACTGCTCTAACAAATACTTCTAACTCTACAAGAGCTAAAATTGAAGTTATCATTTCAATTCTCCTTATACTTCTAATATCTACACATATTCATATCCATATTGATAACTTATCAACTCTTCAAATACTTAAAAACCTCTCTTATAATAATAATACTCAAATAAATTAATTTAACTAAGATATTATTCATATTATTAACTCTCTTATTAAATCAAAAAATATCTCTTATATTTTCTACAAAATTAAATCTTATTCTAAAAATACTTTTCATAATATCACTAACAAACTTGCTAAACAAGAAGTATACAAACTACTACTAATAATAAATCTACAATACTTTACTTCACTATTCTTCTTTACTTAGTATAACTATTTTATTTCATTCAAACTATATCAATTCAACAAATCAATAACTTTTATTCAAACTCTTAATAATATAACTCAACTCAAAACATACTATAACTTACTACTAATAAACTTAAAACTAAATTTCTCTATTTTTAATTCTTTATTACTTAACATCTTTCTTTACTTACTCCACTTTAAAATCTTACTAAATAATCTTCTAATAATAAATAATTTAAATATTAAACTACCTTATCTTTTTCTTACACCAAACTGCACTTACTATAATTAAGAAAAAAATATACTCCACTTCCTTAAATACTCCTTACACAAAATTAATCTACTCTCTATTCTTCACTAACAAATTATTCTAACTATCATATCTTTAAAAATAACAAATTATTCTGCTCAAACTCTTACTGCTATATTTACTACTTTTAACAACCTCACTTAAAAGGTTTTCTTTTAACCTCTCTATTTCTAATAGTAATAATATCAATTATTTAAATTAAATAGTCATAGTAAATAAAAGATTTAATGTCATATCTAATAGCTTTAAAAGTAATATAGATAAAATTAGAAAAATTATTTTTAATCATAAATAGTATCATCCTGATACTTAACTATACTAGTTTATATTCTCTATACTGATATTATCAACTAATAAAAAAAATAAAAAAAACTTACGAATAATGTATATTTAGGCTATACAAACTTATAAAATCCTGACTGAGTTAGTAGATATTTATTTTGACTTGTAAACTTATTTTACTAATTTTAATTAGTAGTGAGTAGATATTTATAATAATAACCTTGACTTATGAAATTGTTTTATTAATTTTAATTAGAATTAAGAAGTTTGGTTTGGTTTAGTTCAGTTTAATATAAATTCTTACTTATACAAATCCTGTATTAATCAAATTTACTGATTAATAAATAATCCTTTATTTGCTAGCTATATCAATAAGAATAAAATGATTTGTAGATAATGGTAAGTAAGTTTTTCTGATATTAACTTGTGAACTTAGCTTTGTCAATCTTAATTTCACTGATGATTGTACATACAAAAAATTCATAAATAAAATTTTTTTTAAAAAAAAGCTAAAACCTGAGTTGCTGTGTCACTAAAGTTAGTTAGTGAGATTGAAAACTGCTAGAAAATAGGTTTGTATATTCTTATCTGTATAAACTTAGAGATTTTTAAATATTGGTATATAATCGTAGTTGTCATTATTATTATAATATAGCAAAAAATTAAGCAGTTAACATAGATGAAAGTTGAAACTTCAATTCTATATGACTATAAATATGTTTATATAATACATTGAATACTGTGAAACCCGTAACGTGACCAGGTCAGGTCCCCCCCTGTAAATTAATTGTCAGGTGACTTCAGTAAATCCAAATTAAGGTTATCTGAGGAACATCAGCAACATCGGCAACACTGGCTACTTCAGTCACAGGGGTGATAAAGACCAGAAAGGAGATGTAGGAGATATAAATGTTAAGGAGAATAAGTATAATATAGGCATTATAATTCATATAGACCACATAGAGAATAATGGCAATGTAGTCTCCCGAATGTAAATAAAGAATTGTATTATAAATAAAGGCTGTGTTGGCCCTTTGAGATGATATCGAATGTCTCCTTTATTTTATAAAAATAAGTTCCTAATATCTAAAGTATAAATTCGCTAAAACCCCTAACTACATAAACCTAATATTTATTGTAATTATCCCCCCCCGATATATTGAAACCCTGTCCAGTTGTTGTATCCTAACGTACTAGGATCAGCCATAGTTTATTCCTTCCAACTATCTGAAGTAGTGTGATAGTTGTAGTTGTTTCATTGATCCAATTACCCGAAGTAGTATAGTAATTGAGAATAGAATTAGTAAAGAATCAGTACAGAAGAACCCAAGACAAGTAACAAAAGAAGACTTACCTGTGGACATCCAAACCACTCGCCAAATCTAACACGCCTCTAACAACTAAGCCGCCCGTAGGTCCTGTAGATTAGTGTTGTTTAGTATTGAGATATAAGGATCGTCCAATCACATTTGGTGGTGACTGTGAGATCCGAAAAATTTCTCTGATGCAGAAACGAAAGACAAATTAATTGAAAGAAAGTAAAATATGTTTCGAAAACACGAAGAGATAAAAGACTTAAATGCAATCAGTGAGAAAAGAAGAAAAATTAGTAAAGGTCACGAAATAAGACGACTAGAAGAAGAGTATGAAAGACTACTAGCAACACTTACCAAAGAACAAGTCAATAAGGTCTAGAAACTCCTCAACAAAACTTTCGGAAGTCAATACCTTGACAGAGAGCAAGTCTACTAGGCCTTGAAGTTCTTAGAGCAAGTATTAAAAGATGTCAGTATGAATAGTAAACCAAATAAAGAAGAGGAAATCGTATATCTACCCTGTCACATTTACTTACTATCAACTCTGAAAAGACAAAACCTATCCAAGCCCTATCGGAAGCTATTTGTAACCAAAGTTCTAGATGCCTACTATGACCAGGATGAAAAAGAAGAAGTTAACCTGGAGAATCTTCTTCAAGAGTTAGTTGCCGAATGCAATTCTATTGCACAAAGGTGGTTCCCCCAAAAAGTAAAACTCACAGAAGTTGGACTTGAAACGGATGAACATAAGACACCAGTCCAGTATCAAAAATCTGCTGAAATGGGAAATACTGAAGGAATTTATAACGTTGGTTATTGTTGCCAATACGGGAGTGGAGTAGAAAAAGATAAACTCGAAACACCCGAATACTATGAAAAAGCCACTGATATAGAGAACGCTGGAAATTCTGTTGAATATGATAAATTGAATGAAGGCAATAATAAAACGATCAAAGATAATGAGGATAAAATTATTACCAAAGAAAGACTTGACCTGGACCGTGCCTGCGAGAATTGGATAAATAAAGTAAGTAACTTTATGAGGATGAACAAAGAACTGAAGGAAGAAAAGTTGTGCCCACCTGAAACTGAAGAAAAAGTACCCAAAAACGAAGCTGAACCTAGTGGACTGAAAGGAAAAACCTGGAAATCAGAAGAACTGAAAGACACCCAGACAGAATTCGTAAAATCCAACTCTTAAGAGAAGCTAATGCCAAAAGAAATAGAACCAATGCCACCAGAAAGAAAGTTATCACCAAAAAAAGAGGCTGATGAAGTCAAAGCATGTGGATCGAGACCTGGGAAGACTAAGGAGTTGACACAAGACAAAAGGAGGTTGGTTCGAAAGGACATCAATGAACCTAACAATGAAGAAACTGCAACGCAAATTGAACCAGAACCACCACCTGGGAAAGAAGCCAGTGACGATAAAGAAAGAGAACCTAGAGATAAAATACAGAAGAGAGAAATTAGTAAAATGGATCAAAAACAAAAAGACAGAGAACAAAAAGAAAACTTATCTCAAGTAACCGGTCCACGAAGTAACCCCATCACTGAAGTATTAAAACAAGAGGATCTAAAGTTTCTGTGGAAATTTATGCGTAGTACGCATAAACTAAGCAGGGGAGAATGTGAAACCCGTAACATGACCAGGTCAGGTCCCCCCCTGTAAATTAATTGTCAGGTGACTTTGGTAAATCCAAATTAAGGTTACCTGGGGAACATCGGCAACATCGGCAACACTGGCTACTTCGGTCACGGGGGCGATAAAGACCAGGAGGGAGATGTAGGGGATATAAACGTTAAGGAGAATAAGTATAATATAGGCATTATAATTCATATAGACCACATAGAGAATAATGGCAATGTAGTCTCCCGAATGTAAATAAAGAATTGTATTATAAATAAAGGCCGTGTTGGCCCTTTGAGACGATATCGAATGTCTCCTTTATTTTATAAAAATAAGTTCCTAATACCTAAAGTATAAATTCGCTAAAACCCCTAACCACATAAACCCGATATTCATTGTAATTACCCCCCCCCCCGATATATTGAAACCCTGTCCGGTTGTTGTATCCTAACGTACCAGGATCAGCCGTGGTTTATTCCTTCCAACTATCCGAAGTAGTGTGATGGTTGTGGTTGTTTCGTTGATCCAATTACCCGAAGTAGTGTGGTAATTGAGAATAGAATTAGTAAAGAATCGGTACAGAAGAACCCAAGACAAGTAACAAAAGAAGACTTACCTGCGGACATCCAAACCACTCGCCAAATCTAACACGCCTTTAACGACTAAGCCGCCCGTAGGTCCTGTAGATTAGTGTTGTTTAGTATTGAGACATAAGGATCGTCCAATCACAATACTCACAAATGTTTTTGCTTATAAATATTATGATAACTACTTAATAATTTACAAGAGTATAAAGGAAGACTTTTTTTTTATCAAAAATCATGATTTTAAAAGGAAGTTGATCGCATTTGCCCGGTTGATTTTGTGACACATCAAGCTTAATATATTGCCACTGGGGAATTACGGCGAGTCAGTCGCTTGACTATCACAAATCTTGCGTAACCTACGAATGGCTTAGTCGAAAGAGGTCGTTTAGATTTGGGCGATGGTTTGGGTTCGTAGGTGAGTACTCTCTAATCTTCTTGGTGATTATGCCTTGGAATGATACTTCTAATACTAATCTCTTAATATATAGGGCGAACCGGGCGAACCACGTGAATGCTGTAACTTTGGGTCTTTGGATAACTTGGATACAACTGTTCGTCGTGTATCCGAAACTTCAAACCACAACTACCACAGTTCGTCGGGTAATTGGACAAATAGTATAACCACAACTAACCACAATCCGTCGGGTTAGCTGGACAATATACCACGGTTAGTCTTGGTACGTTAAGACTTAACCGGAAAAGTTATAGGGTAAGTGTCACGTGGACAAGTTTAACGAAAATCTTACTGTTAGTTACGTTAAACAGCAGATCGGGGTTTGGGAAACAGTTTAGCGAAAGTGGGTTACTCGGGATTTAAAATGTATAAGACTCAAGAGATATTTAATAAAGAACTCGGTTTTATTAATGCAAAACTTAGGAGTTGTTCCCCTTACTGGGCCTACACGGCCTTTATTTATAATATAATTTTCGTGTACAATTTATCTAACTTATTACATTTATACCATTTATCTAACAAATGTAATAAAAGTATTATATCTAATTTATCGTCTTTATTGCATTAATTACACTTATTCCATTTATTACATATATGCGATAAATTAGATAAATACGATAAATACAATAAATGCAATAAATGCAATAAATGTAACTTTCCCCGTGACTTCGGGTCACGTTATACCGGTCCGGACCCAATTTAACCACACTTCGGGTCTCACAATATATATATAAATAACCGGCAGTGATCATCACCGGCCGGTGTATAATTAACGATAAAACAATATTTCATTTACTTTAGGGTTAGGGCGAGGCTGGGATTTTAACTAGATGTCATATCTATGCAAATTTTAGCAAGGAATTTTTTTTTTGTTAGAACGTCGAAGGTGGTTTTATAGGCGAATTCTTGAGATATTGGCATTTTTTTTGTTTAAAAAAAAAAAAATCAATTTGCACATTACACCTGATCCTGCAAATTTATTGGCTAATTAAACAACCGGTGATGGTCACCGCCAGTTATAGTTATCAATATTCATATATATATATACGTATATGTTTTTTTACAGTTAGCAGAAAAAAGCAATCCCGAGATTCTCAATAGCCAATTTTTGTATATTACTAGATATATAATTTGAAATCGAAAATCTCTTGGAAATCTTTATTAGTAAGCAAGTTAATTATATTGATTTGCAAAAAAGTGGAGGTGATGGACGATCATCAGTGGTTACAATAATTTGAAAAGAGCGATAATCGATAATATAATTTTAAAATTATGCATTACATATGATAAATCAGACTACATAATTAGCAAAAAGACATTAAAAAATAATAATTAAAATATTTTATCATGATAATATTAAAATAAAATAGTAATTAAAATATTTTATCATGATAATATTAAAATACAATATTATAAAAATGAAAAAGTTAATTTAGTTTTGTAATGCTTTGCCAAGGTTAGCGATCGACTTTTCCAAAGCTTCTGTGTTCTTTTTTACTTCATGCACAAGACTCTCATATTTATCATTCCAACCCAATAACCATTTTTCGGTTTCTTTACTAGTACCATCTTTTTTTGCGGCGTCTTTAACAGCTTCATTAAAACTTGGGATTAATTTGTCGAATACGGAATTTGTACTCTTAATTGTAGAGGTGAGTCCAGCATAAAGATCCTTAAATCTCACTCCCAAGATTGATACTTCGGGTCCTAATTTTTTTTCTCTCTTAAGGGGGGTTGCTTGGGCAATAACAATGATAAGTACCAAAAAAATGACCAGGTTTGATAAAAACTTCATGGTTAAAAGTTTCAAAATATATTTTTTAAATATTATATTCTTTTAATATGTGTTTAAGAGAACGTTAATTATTTTTGAAAGGTAAGAATTGAGGCATATTTATATATTTTGGATGAAAAATCTTTAATTAAAAAACATTATCAAAAATGTAATTCTTTTCTAAAAGATTTTTCTTTTTATGGTGCTAATCATTTCAAGGCTGGAAATCATACATATGAAAATCTACAAAACCTATAGGTAAAGATGTAAATTTCTCTATTTTATTTTCTTATTTCTATTTTATACCGTTGAGAAAACTTCTAGTATTATTATTAATTTTAGTTAATTACAAGTTATCGATCGCTATGAATGACAATTAATTATCCAAATTAAAGTCATACAGATCCCGACAGTTATTCGTTTAAGAGTAGCAAACGATCCGAAGATCCTGAAGTTTAATCATGTCTCGACATAAAATATTAAGGTGAATATCACCTGTGATCGTCAAGCATAATCAGATGCAACGTACAGTACGTACGTGCGTACCAATATTAGATATTAAAAATTCCTACTGTGTTAGAGCTAGTATTAAGGTATGAGCAATAGTAATGGGCAATTTGCGAGTTTTTCGGTGTGATCCGCGCGTGATGCGCCGAATAGAAATTACTTTTCTGCAAATGGACGTCGAATTTTTGGTCTTATTATTAACATTATGTGTAATTACCATTATACATCATATTTAAAGATTTTGTAAATGTTTTACTCTTTTTGCTTCTTTTGCATTTTTATAACCTTGTGAATTTCTTAAATTATGTTATAGCGCTTTGCAAAAAGATGTGACCCTGTGATTTCTTTGTGACGCATATTTAGTAAGGGGAGGGACAGAAATCAGCTGATTTCTTAGGGGGGTGGGGGTTAGGAGTTCAGTCAGGTCAAATATTATATTAATCATAGAATATACTATAATATACAGTCAGGTGGGGGGTAGGAGGAGGAGCTCTATAGTAAATTGAAATCACCTGATTTCTGTTCCTCCCCTAAGCATGTATATTAATATCGATATCCAATTTCCCATGATTTTACATCGTGATCTACAGAGATCACCATTGTGATATGCCTAATAGTTGCCGATAGGATGGTTGACCTGCTGCCCGCACTTTTGTGCTGGGTATGGATGAGAATTCAACCGCAAATACGGCACCGATCTAAGTTGTTGCCATAGTGTCCATATAATGCCAAATGATGCAATATTGAAAGAGTTTTGTAACGGTGAAAAGGTCTAAACTGGTTCTAGATAGAACTCGTTCGGAGGCTACGTTTACGCAGGAGTTCCGGTCTATCACAAACAATGCAAATCTATAATCTAACTCTAAATGGAAGGCTTGAAAGACGGCGTGGAAAGACTTGGTCCGAGTTTAAGGTTACTTGGGCTTTTCTTGGAATTCAGGTTAAGTATTTGATTCTACTGTTCTTGGCCTTTGCTTCTAGTTGTTACGTTTTGTTACTTGAGTCTATTCTTTCATAGTGTAATGAATATAATTTAGCTTAGTTTAATTTCCTTATTTTATCCGTTTTTTTTATTCTATTTTATTATTCTTTTTTTGAATTTGTAAATATTTTTTTTATTTTATTTATGTAAATTTAAATCCAAATATTTATTTTTTTTATGGGGGATTCAAATGATTATACTAAAAAGAGAATATATTATGTTTTAGTGGCTTAAACGACTGATAATTGATAATTCGTGTATACGCTAAAATCTAATTGTATACGCGAAACCTATAATAAAGACGATGGGAAAATCGCTAAAGTGCTAAATGAATAACGTTATTTACAAGAAATTAGCATATTCATTGGAATTAGAGCATAAACGTCCTGTGAAAATAAAATGTATATAAACAACCAAAATTTTAATAAAGTAATAGCATGTTTTGCATGCTTATATATTCCTTCAATACAAAAAATAAAAATATAATACTTATCTGTAGAGATGGGCAAAATGCGCATTTTCGCATCATGCCATTGTAAAGGGCTAATTTGACCCTCCGGAAATACTGCGCTCCGACGTAGTACGATGTCCTATTTTTAGCTTGTAGATTCTTGTTTAGCCTGTTTATAGTATAATTAGAAGCCTCACCGAAGACTAGTGTCAATCCTTCCCCATATTTAGTATGAAATATGGTATATATGAGATATGTGGGACAAAAGGAATATTAGACATGTTAAATATACGATAAAAGGAATATTAGACATAGATAATATGTTCGATAAATTGAACATATTCAAGTTGTACTTATTATAGTCTTGTAAAGTATATAAACGCTGCCTTTTTCTCTTCAAATAAAATAATCGGAAGTGAGAGAGAATTCAAAAACTCAGCTCACTGCGAGTTCAATAAAATAATCTCAGATTTGAGAATAAAACCCTTCACATAATAATCCCCGATACCACATTCGTTAACCCACAATTACCCCCCCGATTATCTATAAACTGACCTTGATCCTGATAAACCCGGACCAAATCATCCACGCCCTCTTTCTGCCTTCCACTATTAGGGTTATTGTTAGTTTAGTGGTAGGTTGTAGAGAGATTAGTTGGTGAGACCATCGTCCCGACCTACCCTCGGACCACGGATCCTTCACAACGTACGTACAAATAAGAAATCAACTTATCACATGTAGCAATGGGCTAAATTTATTAGAATTATTATTTAACGATATTTTAAAAATTTATATGATTAAACAATGATAAGTCGGAATTTTAAACTCTTGATATAACTTTTGTAATAATCATATTATACTTCGAAAATTTTTTATAAAAATTAGGGATGTTAAATGTACGGTCCAGTCTGGTCCTGGTTCAATACAGCAATATTAATTATTACATTACGATTTAAAATTCACCAATCGGAGTTCTATTAATCACCCGATTAGTGATGAAATATCTGTAAAATTACTGCTAATAAAAATATTTTTCTTGATTTATTTTTAATTAAATTTTATTTAATGTGTCAAAAATGACACCTATTTATATCAAGTGATTTTTAACTAGTTCGGACCGGTTCTTAGTGGTCCTGGTTTAGGACCAGCGCTGAACTAGTTCCTTTCGGACCACTTAACATCCCTAATAAAAATACATAATTATTACATAGATATTTAATGCATTATATTGGATTATTACATCATAAACAAACACTAACGCAAAAAAATAAGAATATTTAATATTTAATAGCGGTTTTTCTTCTAAATTAATCGCCCATTGTTAATCACATGATCATTTGATAACTATTGTAAGTAGTTCCAACAGTTACAGAATAATGTTTACATTGACGAATTAAATAACAGGAATAGTATTTTAAGCTTTCAATTTAAAATCACAAAAGGCTTCACTTTAGAAAAAAATCAATGTCATTATAAAAGGATGAATTAATTTATTTTATTTTTAGAGTGAGGATATTCATAAAATTTATATGTATTCCTAAAATTACTTTAAGTAATTCCTACTGATGGCTCACTAGTACAAAAATAGGTATAAAGGATAATTATAGCATGTTTGAAAATACAGTAATTTAAAATATACAACATTCATATTTTGTCTAATAAATTTGCCGGTTTATTTTTTTCCATAAATGACTTTATTTATTAGTCAGATTATTCCATATTTACATCGAATTTATCGCGTGACCTACGTAGTAATTGGTCTGGTTGATCTTTAGACTTATTAAAATTGTCCCAATGAGACGAACTTTGTGAACTAATCATAAAAGGTAATTATTAAAATAACTGTTAAAAAGATAAATATAATAATAATAATAATTATTATTATTATTATATATGCTGTGATATTTTGACCATTGATCTTGATATTAATTAAGTTAGATACTTTGAATAGAGATCCAATTGGGGATGTTCACATGATGTAACCAGACTACCCCAGACCACCACACGAAATTTATGAAAATAAATATTTTTGAATTGGCAAAAATAAATAAGAATTATGAAGATCTAGTAGACAGACGGCGCACAAGATGCTGATCTTCCCGTAATGTTGTTAATTAGAACACATTTATTTGCCCGATTTGAAACCAATATTTTAAATGTATAAACAACCTACCAAGTGTAAAAGGCTATTTGTGTTCTCGAGAAAACCAAACTATACCAAGATTTTTGTAAGAAAATTTTTTTGTTAGAACACAAAAGGTAACTACATTCTACATAGGCTGATTTTTGAGCAATATCGATTTTTTTATGTTACACCGATTTCACATCTGACCAATTATTATTTTATTTATTGTATCACACAATACATTTGCTTCCGTTTTCTCCGATCTCTACTTTTGAAGTTTTCTATTGGTCGCAGACACTTCACGTGTTCTAAACTGCATCTCCCTCACGTAATTTAATATTAAATGTTGACTCTTTTAACAGTAGCAAAACATAAATTATGTTACAATATGTTTTTCGATTCGGAAATTAACTCCGTAAATTAACTGCTTATAAAACCATTATATTTTGCAATATTCTGAGATAATCTAATTATAAAATTCAATATTTTTAATTACTTTGCATAAAATCAAGGACAAAGTTTGACATATCAGTTTATAAAATAAACATATGTAATAAAGAAATTGATCTAAGTAATGGCAAACGTATTAAATTACGTGTTAAATTACTTGAATATTTCAGAGAATATGTTGAATAACGTAGACGATGAAGAAATATCGAGTGACGCAGGGGAAGAAGATATGTCAAAAGCATGTGAGTAACTCAAAAGTGATAACTAAAATTCTTAATTTATATAAAAATTTTTAATAACATAGATAATCAATGTGAATGATATTAGTAATTGAATATTCCGAACAGTTAGAAAATAATTTAGCGAGAATAAAAAAGTTTGATTACTCTCAATTCAAAAACAAAGAAATTATTGGATATGGAGCTTCAGCAGTTGTTTATTCGGCTGTTATCCAAGGAAAAAAATACGCGTTAAAAAGTCTGAAAAACAATCTAAGTTTTGATAAAAGAGCATTAAAAAGGATTAAGCGTGAGGTGAATACTACACCACGTCTTATTTTGTAATATTTCATCATCAAACTTACAGCTAATAATAACTATACAACTATATATTATAGCTTACGTTGCTATATACAGTTGATCATCCAAACATCATTAAGTTTCATGGTGTTTCAAGAGGTTAAATGAAATTTTTTTTGAATTTAACTTGCCCATGATATTTTATTTTATTCTCCTAAATATGATTAATAAACATTTTAGATCCACAATCGAAGAATTTTATGATGGTATTACAATTTGCTAATGGTGGAACTCTACGATATCACTTAAAAGAAAAACAAAAACAAAAAGGTCTATTCAAGATTTCTTGGACTGGACTCATTAAAATTGCAAAGGAAATTGCATCTGGACTGAAGTATTTACATTCTAAAGCCATTATTCATCGAGATCTGGCAAGTTTTTTTTAAAAAAAAATGCTTTGGTTTTTATTCAACTTTAATTAAATAATAATTTTATTATTCCTTAGCATTCTACAAACATCCTGATAAACGATGGTAAAGCCTTAATCGCTGATTTTGGCGTTGGGAAAAAATTAGATCAAACTGCCGATCAAAGTTCACTACTGTTAGGAACGGCATCATATACTGATCCACAATCCTTAGAATGTGGTAAATTTGAATGTAATGAAAAATCCGATATTTACAGCCTAGGTGTATTACTCTGGGAGCTTACAAGTGGAGTTCCTCCATTCAGAGATCTTCACTTGCCAGCCATAATATTAAAGGTTTTAGGAGGTACAAGGGAAAAACCTATCAAAAATACGCCATCAAATTATATTGATCTCTACGAAAAGTGCTGGTCTTTTGATCCAAATAAACGTCCAGAACTGAATGAAATATTAGATACACTTGAAAATCTATCAAAAGAAACTTCTATTAAATTTATTATAAATATATTATCAGAGGATTTCTATTCAATGCCAAAAGATTCTAAAGACCTTCAATTATCAAAAGAAACGTCTAATGAATTAATTATAAATAATCTGGATATACTACCAGAGGATTTCCATTCAATGTCAAAAGATTCTAAAGACCTTCAATTATCAAAAGAAACGTCTAATGAATTAATTATAAATAATCTGGATATACTACCAGAGGATTTCCATTCAATGTCAAAAGATTCTAAAGACCTTCAATTATCAAAAGAAACGTCTAATGAATTAATTATAAAAAATCCGAAAATACCATCAGAGGATTTACATTCAATGTCGAAAGATTCTGAAGACCTTAAATTATCAGAAGAAACGTCTAATGAATTCATTATAAATAATCCAGAAATGCAACCAAAAGATTTACATTCAATTTTAAAGGATTCTGAAGGTCTCAAGTTAAGTTCAAGTAAGAACTAAAATTTTTATTTCCTGGATATGCTTTTATATAAATTCAGCTAATTCATTATGTTTTAAAATATGAACCTATAGCACATATTGATGGAAGACTTTTGATGGTTTCTCAATTTTTACCGACCCTGGCTACTCGAAAGTCTTCTAGTGCATCTAGTGGTTTGCTGTGCATACTCGATGAATTAGCAAAGATGATAAAATTTATTTGGATCGGATGTCCAGGTAAATAATTTTTTTTTTTTTTAAGCTACGATGGTTAGGTCATTATTTGGGTCATATGAATCTGTGACATTCATTTCCCTTCCCAAAAGTTAGGATCAGCCAAATTTTAGGCCTAATAAGGGGGGTCGTTTAAAGCGTGGTGCATTTACATATTGATCTACATGTTGCATAAGTTCTATTCTTGATATATATATATATAAATAATATACTAACTGCATCAAAAACTAACCCTAACCGTACCCTGCTTTAAACATGTTAAGATCATAGACTAATGCTGTCCGGACGATCTACGGACAGTTCTTAGGGACAGTGCAATGACCAGAATTAGATTTAGGGTTAGGGTTAGAGTAGGTGTATATTGGTAATGTCAGTCACATAGCACTGTCCCTAAGAACTGTCCGTAGATTCACCGAATGCTGTCTAAGTATCGTCACGTGATTTCTAAGCTATTCTCGGTTAAAATGCGTTATCGTTATTAGTAAAGCCATAAATGTTGTACAGTGATCACGAGACCGACACACATGATATTAGTGAATGTTATTAAATATATATATCGATATAATTTATTTTTTTTTAGGCAGCAGTGAAGGAGACAAGATCACAGCCCAGTTAAATGAATGTTCTTACCATCCTGTTTTTATTGAAGATTCCTTATTTAAAGGTCATGATAATTTCTCTAACTCAACATTATGGCCACTATTTCACTATCATTATCCCGGTGAACTCTTTTTTTGTAAAGAAGATTGGAATGCATATAAGATTGTTAATAGTCTTTTTGCAGATGCTATTAGTGAAATAGTTCAAGATGGTGACTTAATATGGATTCATAGTCGTCAATTTATGCTTTTGCCAGATTTGTTAAGAAAAAAACTTAGTGATAGAAATTTAAATGTAAAAATTGGATACTTTTTACACGTACCGTTCCCAAGTTGTGAGATATATAGGTATGATAGATTAACTTTTTTTTTATTGAAAATAATTAATGATAAATAAATTACTAAAGTTTAATTATATTAAATAGAATTCTTCCTGTTCGTGAAGAAATCCTTACTAGCATTCTGAAATCTGATTTAGTTGGGTTTCAAACCTTTAATCATGCTCGTCATTTTCTATCTTCATGCACCAGTATATTAGGTTTGTTAGCTAAACCTAATAGAGTTTACTATGAGGGTAGACTTGTACATGTTGGCATATTTCCTATTGGTATTAATCCGGATAGATTCATCAAAGTATGTTTAGTTTTTACCATTATATCATTAAAATCGGTTTAAATTTCCAGCACTGATACATAATATTTATATATTCCAAATATTTTACATCTTATAACAGAGCTTAAAAGAATCAAAGGTTCAAGAACAAATTAAAACCTTAAAGGAAAAGTATAAAGGCATTAAAATTATTATTGGCGTAGATCGATTGGATTCTGCTAAAGGTGTTCCGCAAAAGTTTCACGCTTTAGATTTATTCTTGAGTAAACATCCTGAATGGATCGGTAAAGTTATACTTATTCAGATAGTCACTCCTACTCGAAAGGATAGTGAAGAGTATCAAAGTTTCTGTCAAGCTGTTAATGAGCTTGCAGGAAAAATTGAAGGAAAATATAGTACTTTTGTACTATCACCGATTCACTTTATTAATCATAGTGTTCCTTTTGAAGAGTTATTAGCACTATACAAAGTTTCAGACGTATGCATAGTTTCATCAATAAGGGATGGAATGAATCTTGTACCTTACGAATACATTTCATGTCAACAAGATAGCCATGGAGTGTTAATTATTAGTGAATTTGCAGGAGCCGCTCAATGTTTGGATGGTAATTATGCTCCTTTCGTACCTCCACCTTTAATATTATATTAACATAAATTTAAATACTTTTAAAGGTTCTATTTTTATTAATCCATGGAACACGGAAAAATTCGCAAATGCTATTTATAAAGCTGTTACAATGAACGAAAATTTACGTAAATTAAATTATCAAAAGTTACACTATTACGTTACAAAGAATACTGTTTCTTTTTGGGGAAAAAGTTTTGTTAAAGAACTAGCGGTAGTCAAATATTTCAAGCTATATAAGTAAATATATCAATTATTGTTTTTTTTTAACTCATTTAATCTCTACTTTATCATAGCGTGTTGAGGAATATAATTCTCGAATTGTGACTTCACATTTAGAAATTAATCAAGTTTTAAAAGTTGCAAAGACTGCTAAGAAAAGAATTATTCTATTAGATTGCGACAGAACATTAATTACTACTCATAAATATGAAAAGCAATCATGTTCCCCGAATAATATCATTTCTACCCTTAAATCACTACAAGCAAAACCGAATACGTATGTATATATATTGTCTGGTCGTGGCAGAGTTGACCTCGATAAATGGTTTGAACCAGCTGGTGTTGGCTTGTCTGCAGAACATGGTTGCTTTTACAAACACCCAAAATGCCTACAAGAAAAAGAAAATCCAATTCTAAATTGTGTGCTTAAAAACATGACTATAAAAGAAGAAAATAATAATTGGTACAGACTTGTTGAACAAGTTGATCCTGAATTAAAGGAGAAACTTCTTCATTTATTTAAACATTATGAGGTAAGAACTCATGGAGCTTCTGTTGAGGAAAAAGAGATTGGCATAGTATGGCATAATAATTGTTCAGATCGAAAATTTGGTTCAAGACAGACTATGGATTTACAAGTTAATTTGATGTCCTCTTTAGTTCATATGCCTTTAAATGTAAGTTCATTTGTATATTAACTTCATTATTTATATATTTACCAAATTATGTCATGCCATTAATCATTAATTTATTTAGATTATCTTAGGAGATAATATTTTAGAAATCCGATCTTCATTAGTTGATAAATCAGCTGTAGTTCGTGCCATTTTTAAAGATTTACATGTTACACCTGATCATTTTGTACTTTGCATTGGTGATGAGAAACCAGATGAACCTATATTTACTTTACTAGAAAAAAATGACGAATTTAAATCTTTGAATTATTTTACAAGTAATGTTGGAAATAAACCAACTAAAGCTAAGTTCTTCCTAAATGATGATTTGGATGTTCGAAATTTATTGGAAAAATTGGTATCAGAACTGCTCGATTAACCAGTCGTCGCTATATTAAAAAAACCGACTTGAAATACTTTTTATATCTCATATTGTCGTAACTAGTTATGACAAGTCTACAAGCACTCTTGCGTTAAGAAAATACCGAGGTTGCAAATCACTGCCATGTCAGAGACCTGGTTGACCTTTAAATTAGTGGTAATTTGAAATAAGACAATGTATAGACAGAAATTAAATAACAAAGTTTTCGAAAAAGGAACAAAGTAAAGTTTTTCGAATTTAAAATATTCTTCTAAATTTATATATTATATTTATTAAAATATTCGTTATAGGAATTTCGAGAAATATATTTAAACTTCTAAATTTTACCTTCATTAACTTTTAGCATATTGTGAATTGTATATATTATATTAATGCTGCGTTCGAATTTAAAACCTTGTTAACATCACCCCTCATTTTATTGCCCCCAAAAATTGAACAACCAGTAAAAAAAAATTCTGGATAATTCCTTCCAGTAACATAATTTGTATTGACCAATGAAATTGGCCCATACTCTTTGCGCAATAAAGTGTTCGCTCAGATTTCTCTCCCTAATCTAAGCCTAAAATTATTAATGTTAACCAACTAATTAATTTTGACAAACCCAATTAAAATCTCTGGACTAAACTTTGACAGCGTTTGAACTGGAAGTTGATTTGTCATAATAGATTTTTTATTCTAGTTCAACTTATTTGTTCGTTTCAATTTCTCCCTCCCCCGAAGTCATAAAAAGGGATGTTAACCAAAGATTTAACTGCAAGTGGTCTTATGATCTGTGAAATCTACATATGAGTGCTGAAAAGCAAAAACCTATAAGTAATAATTCTAGTTTTCACTTCAGTAAACTTAACCCTTGTTAGAATTGTGATATTATGTAATTAATCACTATGATCTGTGTTCTGGTCATTTCAACAAAACATTTTTATTGTTACATTTTACGCAATTTACAAAAATTTTATAATTATTGTATAGTGATTAATTACATATATTATAATTCTAATGTTACGGGTAATTAGGTAAGTCACCACCAAATGTTACGTGTAGTGTTTCTAATCGGGTCGGGTTGGGTTGAACATGAACCCGACCCGACTCGACTCGAAATTTAGAGACTCTATGCAATCAGCATCAATTGTATAGAATTGAATAAACGATCATCATAACGTCAGAATTAATTATCTGGCATTAGGTTTCTGACCAAAATTATAGCTGGCCTGAATTATGAAATTATACTGCAAAATTTCTGACTAATTAGTTAAATTGATGTTAGCCAATCACAATTGATAGTTATCTGTGACATTTTGAAATTTACTGCTATTTTTATAATTCTTGAAACATCTAATAATTTTTTTACTATCTGAAATATTCTTAATCTTGTTTAGTAAATTATCTAATCTTTTGTTAACTGTATTATTATCTTTGGATTGGAGATCTGAAGACTGTAATATTCTTTAATTTATATATATATATATTTTTTTTCCTTTAGGTGATCTTTCCCTTCATTTTATTAAGAGAATTACATCACACGTAATAAAGCAAATACAAAAAATTAAAAAGGAATAAATCTATTCTAATCTTAAGAGTTGTTAATTAATTACAGTTATAGTTACTTTAGATATAATATATATTAATCTATTGCAGTTACTTTTTTTTGCTAAAATATATTGGTTAATATTATAGTCTCAGATATTATTACATTAGTCAACTATTCTATCTAAATAGTTACAAAAATTAAATAATATATATGCTATTAAAAACTAATATATATATATAAAATACTCTTAAAGTTCTATCTATACATAATATCTAATATGATAATATACTAATTTTCTTATTTCTGGTTTTATGCAACTATGTTGTGTAGCTACTTATAAATAATTACTATATAAAACTGATTTCATATTAAAACTAGTTTAACTTGAATTTATAGTCAAATTATATGAACTGGTTCTGATCTCTAATTGTTATTCTTTGATTTTTTAAAAAAAGATAATTGTTAATATTAATAAGATTAATATTAAAACTATATAATAACTAAGAAAAATATTCTTTATAAATATAAAAATAAGTAATCAAAAGGCTATTTTAAATTTTAAACTTCTTTTATAAGATTAAAATCACACGATTTTGTAATAAAATTTATAATATAAAAACAATTACTATATTGTCTATTCTTATAAATTTTTATATAATTTAAAGAATCGTATAATATTATCAGTATAAGTTTTCTCTATTCAGGTAAGTCAATTTATAGTACTCAATATTTACATAGACTATTTTTTTTTGGGTTTAACTCAGGTTTCAACTTAGGTATGAGCAAGATAAATTATAAATAATTAACTATATACTAAAATAAAAAAACTATAACAATATAAATACTGTAAATAAATAAATATTAAGAAATAAAAAAAATAAAATAAAAATTCATAACTTGAATTCAGATACTAATTTATATTCTAACAATAATTATTGTTATAATTTTAAACATCCCAATTCAGGGTAATAGTTTTTTAGATTGTTAATAAGATCAATTTTTACTTATATTAGTATCGAATATTATAATTATATAATTAATATTTGAATTACAATTAAGTTATTAGTTATTATTTGTTTAAGATTAACCCTCGATTGTTTAAATTAGATTATTTCTAATCCTCTTTGTTAAAGGCATAAAATTGACTCTTAGATAAGACATAGCCTTTATTTAAATAGACTATTGCACTCTTTTACTATTACTATTTCTATAGTAGACTATTAAATCTAGTACTATATTAAGTATCAAAGCTAAACTATGCAACATTACCTGTTCTTCTAATTTATAATAATAACGAAATCAAAGTAAAAATTTATATACTATATAACTCAAAATTTAGTTTATGAAATTGCTTGTTACATATTAATTAAAATTTTTCCTTGCAAAATTTTGATATAAATAGTATTTTTAGAAATTTAAAAACTCTCTCCTGTTCCCTCTAGCTAAGAGACTAAATATAACAAAATAATAAAAAAATACACAGAAAATTTCTTTTTAGATACTAATAGGGCTAAAGTTTCTAAAGTTAGAAAGAGAAAACTATTCATGAGCACTATAAGTGCTAACAAAAACAAAAGAACTAAACTCTCAGATAACAAGAAAATTTTTGATCTTTCTTTATATTCAGAAGAAAAAAATAAGAAAAACATACTAAGCTCCTCAAATAATAAAAACACTATTACTTCTGAATAAAAAGACAACAACTGAACAGACAAAGTTGAAGCAGAAATATTTGACAAAGGCAAAAACAAGCAAATAAACTATGTAGAGTAGAGTTGGAAACACAGTGTCCCAAGGCATACCTAAGGCATGCCTTTTAGCTAAAAGGCATGCCTTCTACTCTTTTATATAGAAAAATCTAATATATAAAGTTTGCTGATTTAATTAGTCAATTATCATAGTTAATTTGACATAAGTTAGGTTAATCAATTATAATATCTAGATAGGGCATACTCAGAGCATAGAGAGGCATGCTTTCAACAAAGGCATGCTCTCCTAAGCATGCCTAAAAAATTTTCTATGCCCCAACTCTAATGTAGAAGCTTCTTCAAGTAAAAATAATGAAAGCTCTACTTCTTCTCTTGAAAAAGAAACAACAAAACAACATATGAACTATGATGTAAACAAAAGTTACGTGAGGAAGCCAATCAGGTCAAGTACAAAAACTACAACTAAAACTAAGCTACTTGACTTTACAGATAGCCCTAAAACTAACAGTCATGATCAACTCAAATCTAAACAATGATCTGACCTGTTTACCAAACTCAGAGATGACAAAGCCATATACAAACAAGAGATCTCCAAAAACAAGATCCTCTCCAAAAATGAAAATGCCCTGGTCTTTAATATCCAAAGTCTAAACAATATATCTACAAACGATATCATTCTATCCTTAGCAAATTCTCTTGGTGAAGACCTTTTAGCTGCCAAACCTCATTTTAGCAGAGGTAAAAGAGCCTACCTAGAAGTAGTTTTCAAAAGTGAAGCTCAACAGCAGTACTATGCAACAGAAAAGATTAATATATTCAAACAAATAATTTTCAGATATATTCCTATTAATTTAAAGAAAAGCTTTCTCTTTGTTAAGGTTAGAAATACACCTCTAGAAAACAAAGACTAGACTAATAAACTCCTCTTAGAAACCTTTTAAGATTTCAGAATCATCATCTCAGTTAAGCCTCTACTCTTCAAAGGAACTTCAGTTTGTTCAGACTAGTGGATTGTCTTATTCGAGACAACTGAAGACCTAGATCTTTCTAAAAGGCTTCTAAGGACTAAATATGTTAGTAACTACAAAGTTAGTACTGAATAGAGAGAAGTCCCAAAAATATGCTATTACTGTGAAAAAGAAGGCTACATAAAGAAAGATTGTGAAGAGTTAAAAGATGCAATTGCTTTATATGCATACTACAAAGAATTAAAATTACAAAAAGAAAAAAATCATACTCACTCTGAGACTCAGCTAAAACTTAGCTCAGACAACTCTTATGCTTAAGTTCAGACTGAAAAGAATTGCAACTTATAGCATCTAAAGAGGAAATCTCTATTCCACTAACAAAGATGGCTAATAAAAAAAGAAACTCTCTAAACCAAAATTATACTATAGAAAAAATAGAGGACAACAACTCAAATCTAGTACAAAAGACAAATATCTCATCTCCTGATTCAAAACTTTTTAAGCCAAAAAGTGAAACTACAACAGCAGATACACAGAAAAACAAAAAAAAAAAGAATAAGAAAAGAACTTATGAGAATGATATAGTAATGACAGAGGCAACCACCTCTGAACAAGGTTTCTCTTCTTATTAGGTCTTATTATAATTAATAACAACAACTCAAAAACAACTTCATTTAATTATAAAAAAAATTACAATTACAACTCTCAATGTAAAAAGCCTAAACAACAAGGTCAAAGTACATAAAACTCTAATTCTCTTAAAATTATATAATCTAGATATTATCACACTTC